AAATATATTTATTTAATTTAAATAATACAAGTAAATGGTTTATATTTTATCTATACATAGCGTTGTTACATCCTTTATAGATTGAGAACGGTCTAGGGGACTTCCCATCATCCAAGTAGGTTGTGTATCTTTCACTCCTTCGATTTTTTTATTCCTTGTATATGTGAAAGTCACTAGTATAATTTGTCATTCATTAGAAAATATGTCATCTCTTTTTATAATTTGAATCTTCATATGTCAGGTCAAGGATATGGGTAAATGGTTATTTCTATAGTTAATGTAATATTTAGTTTATAAATAAATAATGATATCACATTTTCGTTTATGCTTTCTTTTTTTATTTAACTAAAAATATATTTATATGTTAATATTTAATTTTATTTAAATTAATTTCCTCCAATATAATATTAGGAATCTCTTTATTAATTTAGCAACCTGCTTTATTCAAAATATGACGGAGCGTGCAAAATCATTAATTTATAAAAGTAGAGACTAAAATTGCATTTAAATCTAAAAGTTTGCAATCAATAAATATATTTATTTAATTTAAATAATACAAGTAAATGTTTTATATTTTATCTATCCATAGCATTGTTACATCCTTTATAAATTGGGAACAGTCTAGGGGACTTCCCATTATCCAAGTAGGTATTGTATCTTTCACTCCTTCGAATTTTTTATACCTTGTATATGTGAAAGTCATTAGTATAATTTATCATTCATTTGAAAATAAGTCATCTCTCTTTATAATTTGAATCTTCATATGACAGGTCGATGATATGAGTAAATGGCTATTTCTATAGTTAATGTAATATTTAGTTTATAAATAAATAATTATATCATATTTTCGTTTATGCTTTCTTTTCTTATTTAACTAAATATCTATTTATTTATTAATATTTAATTTTATTTAAAATAATTTCCACCAATATCATACTAGGAAGCTCTTTATTAATTTAACAACCTCCTTCATTCAAAATATGACGGAGCGTGCAAAATTATAAATTTATAAAAGTAGAAAATAAAATTGCATTTAAATATAAAAGTTTGCAATCAATAAATATATTTATTTAATTTAAATAATACAAGTAAATGTTTTATATTTTGTCTATCCATAGCATTGTTGCATCCTTTATAAATTGAGAACAATCTAGGGGACTTCCCGTTATCCAAGTAGGTATTGTATCTTTCACTCCTTCGAATTTTGTATTCCTTGTATATGTGAAAGTCATTAGTATAATTTATCATTCATTTAAAAATAAGTCATCTCTTTTTATAATTTGAATCTTCATATGACAGGTTGATGATATGAGTAAATGGCTATTTCTATAGTTAATGTAATATTTAGTTTATAAATAAATAATTATATCATATTTTTGTTTATGCTTTCTTTTTTTATTTAACTAAAAATCTATTTATATGTTAATATTTAATTTTATTTAAAATAATTTCCTCCAATATAATACTAGGAATCTCTTTATTAATTTAGCAACCTCCTTCATTCAAAATATGACGGAGCGTGCAAAATCATAAATTTATAAAAGTAGAGAATAAAATTGCATTTAAATCTAAAAGTTTGCAATAAATAAATATATTTATTTAATTTAAATAATACAAGTAAATGTTTTATATTTTATCTATTCATAGCGTTGTTACATCCTTTATAGATTGAGAACGGTCTAGGGGACTTCCCATCATCCAAGTAGGTTGTGTATCTTTCACTCCTTCGATTTTTTTATTCCTTGTATATGTGAAAGTCATTAGTATAATTTATCATTCATTAGAAAATATGTCATCTCTTTTTGTAATTTGAATCTTCATATGACAGGTCAATGATATGAGTAAATGGCTATTTCTATAGTTAATGTAATATTTAGTTTATAAATAAATAATTATATCATATTTTTGTTTATGCTTTCTTTTTTTATTTAACTAAAAATCTATTTATATGTTAATATTTAATTTAATTTAAATTAATTTCCTCCAATATAATATTAGGAATCTCTTTATTAATTTAGCAACCTCCTTTATTCAAAATATGATGGAGCGTGCAAAATAATTAATTTATAAAAGTAGAGACTAAAATTGCATTTAAATCTAAAAGTTTGCAATCAATAAATATATTTATTTAATTTAAATAATACAAGTAAATGTTTTATATTTTATCTATCCATAGCATTGTTACATCCTTTATATATTGAGAACAGTCTAGGGGACTTCCCATTATCCAAGTAGGTATTGTATCTTTCACTCCTTCGAATTTTTTATTCCTTGTATATGTGAAAGTCATTAGTATAATTTATCATTCATTTGAAAATAAGTCATCTCTCTTTATAATTTGAATCTTCATATGACAGGTCAAGGATATGAGTAAATGGCTATTTCTATAGTTAATGTAATATTTAGTTTATAAATAAATAATTATATCATATTTTCGTTTATGCTTTCTTTTCTTATTTAACTAAATATCTATTTATTTATTAATATTTAATTTTATTTAAAATAATCTCCACCAATATCATACTAGGAATCTCTTTATTAATTTAACAACCTCCTTCATTCAAGATATGACGTACCGTGCAAAATCATAAATTTATAAAAGTAGACAATAAAATTGAATTTAAATCTAAAAGTTTGCAATAAATAAATATATTTATTTAATTTAAATAATACAAGTAAATGTTTTATATTTTATCTATTCATAGCGTTGTTACATCCTTTATAGATTGAGAACAGTCTAGGGGACTTCCCATTATCCAAGTAGGTATTGTATCTTTCACTCCTTCGAATTTTTTATACCTTGTATATGTGAAAGTCATTAGTATAATTTATCATTCATTTGAAAATAAGTCATCTCTCTTTATAATTTTAATCTTCATATGACAGGTCAATGATATGAGTAAATGGCTATTTCTATAGTTAATGTAATATTTAGTTTATAAATAAATAATTATATCATATTTTTGTATATGCTTTCTTTTCTTATTTAACTAAATATCTATTTATTTATTAATATTTAATTATATTTAAAATAATTTCAACCAATATCATACTAGGAATATGTTTATTAATTTAGCAACCTCCTTCATTCAAAATGTGGCGGAGCATGCAAAATTATTAATTTATAAAAGTAGAGAATAAAATTGCATTTAAATCTAAAAGTTTTCAATAAATAAATATATTTATTTAATTTAAATAATACAAGTAAATGTTTTATATTTTATCTATACATAGCGTTGTTACATCCTTTATAGATTGAGAACGGTCTAGGGGACTTCCCATCATCCAAGTAGGTTGTGTATCTTTCACTCCTTCGATTTTTTTATTCCTTGTATATGTGAAAGTCATTAGTATAGTTTATCATTCATTAGAAAATATGTCATCTCTTTTTATAATTTGAATCTTCATATGACAGGTCAATGATATGAGTAAATGTCTATTTCTATAGTTAATGTAATATTTAGTTTATAAATAAATAATTATATCATATTTTCGTTTATGCTTTCTTTTTTTTATTTAACTAAAAATCTATTTATATGTTAATATTTAATTTAATTTAAATTAATTTCCTCCAATATAATATTAGGAATCTCTTTATTAATTTAGCAACCTCCTTTATTCAAAATATGATGGAGCGTGCAAAATAATTAATTTATAAAAGTATAGACTAAAATTGCATTTAAATCTAAAAGTTTGCAATCAATAAATATATTTATTTAATTTAAATAATACAAGTAAATGTTTTATATTTTATCTATTCATAGAATCGTTACATCCTTTATAGATTGAGAACAGTCTAGGGGACTTCCCATTATCCAAGTAGGTATTGTATCTTTCACTCCTTCGAATTTTTTATACCTTGTATATGTGAAAGTCATTAGTATAATTTATCATTCATTTGAAAATAAGTCATCTCTCTTTATAATTTGAATCTTCATATGACAGGTCGATGATATGAGTAAATGGTTATTTTTATAGTTAATGTAATATTTAGTTTATAAATAAATAATTATATCATATTTTTGTATATGCTTTCTTTTCTTATTTAACTAAATATCTATTTATTTATTAATATTTAATTTTATTTAAAATAATTTCAACCAATATAATACTAGGAATCTGTTTATTAATTTAGCAACCTCCTTCATTCAAAATGTGACGGAGCATGCAAAATTATTAATTTATAAAGGTAGAGAATAAAATTGCATTTAAATCAAAAAGTTTGCAATAAATAAATATATTTATTTAATTTAAATAATACAAGTAAATGTTTTATATTTTATCTATACATAGCGTTGTTACATCCTTTATAGATTGAGAACTGTCTAGGGGACTTCCCATCATCCAAGTAGGTTGTGTATCTTTCACTCCTTCGATTTTTTTATTCCTTGTATATGTGAAAGTCATTAGTATAATTTATCATTCATTAGAAAATATGTCATCTCTTTTTATAATTTGAATCTTCATATGACAGGTCAATGATATGAGTAAATGGCTATTTCTATAGTTAATGTAATATTTAGTTTATAAATAAATAATTATATCATATTTTCGTTTATGCTTTCTTTTTTTATTTAACTAAAAATCTATTTATAACACTACGCCAAAAATGATTTTTTGTATCACCTAATTTAATAGCACTTTTAAAAAAAATGCTATTAAAATGGAAAAAACACATTTATAATAGCACTTTTTAATCGGGCGCTATTATATAATACACACTATGTAATTTTGATAGCACTTTGTACCATAACGCTATTATTAAACTTCTTTAAGATAGCATTTTGTTTAAAACGCTATTATTTGACTACCTATATAATAGCATTTATTAAAAAGCGCTATGTTATATATAATAATGAATTAATTAATTAATTGATAAAAAAAAAAACACTTTTTCAGAAACTCTATCCCCAAAAATCCTCCACCTTCTACATCTTCAAACTTTATCCCCAAAATCCTCCACATCTGAACCCTCGCGAAACTCTGTTCCGTTCTCATCAATGGCTTCTGCTCCCTCTCATTGCACCGAGCTCGCCAAGCTCTGTAGCTCCAAGGACTGGTCCAAGGCAATTCGAATCCTCGATTCACTCGTTTCTCAGTCTGCTGCTGTTCAAGACATCTGGTGCAATTTTCAATTCTCTCCGATTCAATTTGCAATCGATGTTTGTTAATTAGTCTCATGTATGCTGATTTTTGTTCAATTTTGTTATTGTGCTTGTTTTCAGTAACCGAGCCTTCTGTTATAGCCAATTGGAACTGCATAAGCATGTGATTAAGGATTGCGATAGAGCGATTCAGCTTAACTCCTTGCATCTTCAAGCTTACATTCTGAAAGGTTTCTTCTCAGTTGTTAATTGATTTCATTCAGCTTTATCTACTTTATCAAATTGTTTGTACAGAAATATCTGCTGTGTAGTTACTAGTTAGTATCATGATAAGTGCTATTGAGTTCTAGTATGAATAATTGATGGATTACTTATAACTGAATTTGACTTTGGATTTTTGCTTAAGATTTTTAATTTGTTTATTGATGCTCTCCTTCTTTGCAACTTTTCTTTTACTTGCAAAGAATGCATCTCTAGGGATCAACTTCATGATTATATCATTGAAAGGTGCATGACCAGTAAGCACAATGTCTTTAGGTTGCTGAATGGAAGAACATGTTGCAGCTAGATGCTTTATTCCCAATACAATCCTTTCAACATGCTCCCTACAAGTTCCATGAGTTAGTACATAAGTGATAGATTTATTCCCAATAAGTTCGCAGACGATTCCAAAATCCCTTAATAAGATTCTATCTGCTTCATAACCCGATAAACCAAGCTCCCAAAAACCTACGGTAAGCCGCAATGGATCCATAGCCAGAAAATTTGGAAAGCTTGAATGCTCAAGCACTGAGATTCCAGGGATTCGTTTTAGAAAGCTCTTTGCTTCATTTGCTAATTCAACGGCTTGGTTGAATATAACATCAGGGCTTTCACTAAGTTGAGCTCTAGCAGCATCTAGGGATGCCAAAAGTAGGAAACTAGGACTTGTAGGTTGGAGAGTTTGGAGACACCTAGATATTTTGTCCTTATCTACGATGTCGCCGGACACGTGTAGTATAGATGACTGACTAAGAGAGGAAAGAACCTTGTGAGTAGATTGTACAGCTAGATCAGCACCTTGCTGGAGGGCTGACCTAGGCAGTTCAGAATTAAATCCAAGATGTGCACCATGAGCTTCATCAACAATTAAAGGAATTTTCCGAGAATGACACAACTTAGATATTTCTCTCAAGTTACTGCAAATACCATGATAAGTAGGTGAAGTGATGAAAACAGCTCCTAGTTTTTTTCCTTCCAGTTCTAGTTCCTTGATAGCATTCAATACCTGTAATGGAGTGATGCCACCAGGGAGATCCCAATCATTTTTATAGTCAGGAACAATGTACTTTGCCACTGCACCACATAATACCATGCTAGATATAGCTGACAAATGACAGTTTCTGGGAAGAATGAGATAATCTCCAGGTGAACAGGTTGCCATAATTGCTGCCTGGATCCCACAAGTAGTACCTCCAACAAGAAACCATGTCTGTGATGATCCAAACAATTTGGCTGCTTCTTTTTGTGCTTCTAATATTCGTCCTTGGGGATTAAAGAGGGTATCAAGTGCTGGAATGCAGCCCATATCATGGGCATATGGTTTGATTCCAATAAGTTGAGTAAACGAAGAAGGAGCAGCATGGCCTCTGTTATGTCCAGGAAAGTGAAAAGAAGCTGCATTTTGTTCAACTATGGCTTTTAATGCACTCACTAGAGGAGGTAGCCCACTCTCCTCAAGCTCTGGTGTATTGTCGAACATATTGTCTTCCTATAAAATAATTACTTTTTCAAAATAATTGCAAAAATTTTGAGGTCCTTTGGTTTTGGTCTGTATTTTTGAAACATACTCCCTCCGTAACGAGTTATAAGCAAATTTGACATTTTTGGTTCATTTGACAATTAATGTATATAGTCCATATATAGACTACATACATTAGTTGTCAAATGTACAAAAAAAAGTCAAATTTGCTTATAATTCGTTACGGAGAGAGTAATTTATTAAGAAAACCAAAACATAATAATTTGAAGTATAACTTGTTCTTGGAAAAAGTTTCACAGGAAGATGTATAAACAAATTTTATTGGTTATTGGTTATAGAGAAAATGGGAGGGATAACAAATTACATGCAATTTTCATTCGATTTCACCGGAATAAGTATTTTTTTGAAACAAGATGAAAGTTATTTTTTTCTTATAATTTTGGACACGAAAAATTAGTTTTTTTCCTTGTAAATTAGGATGGAGGGAGTACTAAATAAGATAGAGATAAACATACGGTTTTACTTACGGTCTCTCTGTATTTTGATGTTCAAATAACAAAAACTCATTGAAATAGACAGTGGCTTTTGAACTTATACTGTTTTTCGTTTTGTCATCTAGGTCATGCGCTTTTTGCTTTGGGAAGGAAAGCAGATGCTTTAATGGTATGGGAGCAAGGCTTTGAACTTGCTCAACATCAATCTGCATATTTGAAGCAGTTGTTAGAACTTGAAGAGCTTTTGGTGAAAGAAAAACAAGGTAACAATGCATCGTATGAAACCAATGGACTGCCCATGGTGCAAGCCAAATCAGATTCTTCATGTAATAAGAACTTGACTGAAACTTGTGAAAGCCATGCTAAACTATGTGACAATACAAGTGATAAATCTGAGATCTTTCTAAAGTCCACTGATAAATTTGATGCAAAGAATGAACTAAATAGTGAAGGTAGAGAGTCTAATAAATGTGATGGCCAAGTTAATGGAAGCCCTGATGTTATTGATAATTTGCGCTATAACTCTGAGTCGTGTAATGATTCAAGTGATAATTCAGAATCATGTGATAAAGTATTTACTAATAGCGGTGAATCACGTGACTCAAACGATGCTCCTGAAATTCTTAAAAAGCCCAGTTTTAAGTTTACTTTCCCCAGTAAAAAAAGTAGCGAAGCAAGGAAAAATAAAAAGTTCTCTGTTGCTCGGATTTCAAAGACAAAGTCTATAAGTGTAGATTTTCGGCTTTCACGGGGAATAGCAGAGGTTTGTTTCTGCAACTGCTGATTTGTAGTATTTATCTGTTTAATTGTGTAATTGATATTGTGATTATTTGTAGGTTAACGAAGGGAAATATGCTCATGCTATATCCATTTTTGACCAAGTACAGTGTTGTCTTCCACAAAAAGGAGCAATGGGAGAGATTCATCAAATGATTTTGAAAAAGATACGAATTATGCGTTTGATCGAGTTGAAGAATTTGTCAATGTAATTGAGGAAGATCTTTGTGATTGTCCTCAAATTTTTGAGCGGATAGTAAGTGATGCAGAGACTCCGTTGTATGATGGATGTACTAAATTCACAAGACTGTCAACGGTCTTAAAGTTGTATAACTTAAAAGCACGCCATGGATGGTCCGATAGGAGCTTCACAGACTTGTTGTCTAAAAGATAGTAAGGGTGGTTTTGTTAAACATCGTCCGGCCAAATATTCTTTTTGTATAAAACAAGTGATTGGGATAAATTTGTAGCCCAACATATGACTGCAAAGTTTCAGGTAATACTTTTATCACTTGGATATGGATCCTTAAATGTTTGATTATTCTTTATATGTTGAATTAGTTTTTATTGTACAATACATAATCAATATTCCTTCTATGATACAGGAAAACAAGAAGCAATTATTTTGCCTAATTAGTGATTGTATATATGAGTTCAACGCTTTTGGATCATGAAGGTGGTTACTACATGGGATTGTTTTGTTATCCTTTCTTATTTTTTTGGTGTTTCGTTTAGAGAATTTGATTGTATGTTTTTGGATTTGGATTGAAGTACTCATAGATGGGCATCTACAAATTTGGCTATGCAAACGCCCTCTTAATATTCTATATGTTATGATATTTGGAAACAATAGGATTTGGTAATTTAAAATGTTATTTGGTATTTGATGGATCATTATTTATATGCAATGAGTAACTTAAAGCGTTATTTGTGTTGAATTGAATATAGTTATTTTATATTTACACCAAAAAAAATGATTGTGTAAGAAAAAATATTGTACTGTACTTATTAAAAATATTGTACCAAATATGTACCATTTATTAGCACTTTATTTGAAAGCGCTATCAAACATATGTTATATATTAGCGCTTTTTGTTTAGAGTGCTATAAAAAAACAAACAAAAAACATGCAAAATACTGACTTTGATAGCACTTTAATTAAAACGCTATTATAAATTGGTACTTTAATAGCGCTTTAAAAGCGCTATTAAATAAGAAATATTTACAATAGTGGCGCGGTTAATAGCACTTTTAAGCGCTATCAAAAACAAAAAAAGCGCTATTAAATAGCTTATTTGGCTTAGTGTAAGTTAATATTTAATTTTATTTAAATTAATTTCCTCCAATATAATATTAGGAATCTCTTTATTAATTTAGCAACCTCCTTTATTCAAAATATGATGGAGCGTGCAAAATAATTAATTTATAAAAGTAGAGACTAAAATTGCATTTAAATCTAAAAGTTTGCAATCAATAAAAATATTTATTTAATTTAAATAATACAAGTAAATGTTTTATATTTTATCTATCCATAGAATTGTTGCATCCTTTATAAATTGAGAACAGTCTAGGGGACTTCCCATTATCCAAGTAGGTATTGTATCTTTCACTCCTTCGAATTTTTTATTCCTTGTATATGTGAAAGTCATTAGTATAATTTATCATTCATTTGAAAATAAGTAATCTCTCTTTATAATTTGAATCTTCATATGACAGGTCGATGATATGAGTAAATGGTTATTTCTATAGTTAATGTAATATTTAGTTTATAAATAAATAATTATATCATATTTTTGTATATGCTTTCTTTTCTTATTTAACTAAATATCTATTTATTTATTAATATTTAATTTTATTTAAAATAATTTCAACCAATATCATACTAGGAATCTGTTTATTAATTTGGCAACCTCCTTCATTCAAAATGTGACGGAGCATGCAAAATTATTAATTTATAAAAGTAGAGAATAAAATTGCATTTAAATCTAAAAGTTTGCAATAAATAAATATATTTATTTAATTTAAATAATACAAGTAAATGTTTTATATTTTATCTATACATAGCGTTGTTACATCCTTTATAGATTGAGAACGGTCTAGGGGACTTCCCATCATCCAAGTAGGTTGTGTATCTTTCACTCCTTCGATTTTTTTATTCCTTGTATATGTGAAAGTCATTAGTATAATTTATCATTCATTAGAAAATATGTCATCTCTCTTTATAATTTGAATCTTCATATG